TAGCGCTTACGCTATGTTTTACAGAAAAATACCTTCACAGTAAATTAAAGAGGACTAAATTTTCTACAATTTATCCAGCGACAGTATATGTCTATCACCTACCCTTTAATCGGGGTGGCGCTTTAAAGTTGAATGACCTTGAAAAAAAATATTTTGGAAATTATTATTTTTTTTCTGAGCAGTCAAGCGAATCCATCACAAACCATACAGCAAATACTCATAAATAATTGGCCGATTTTTTGGTATATGTTTTATTAAAAAACAGTTACCCGTTTAAGATATACAGGGTGTTGAAATTTAAACAACCCCCTTTCATATCATCTGAAGGGCTAATGCTAGGCTGTTTAAATTTTCAGGGATTATTGATGTAGGAATGATATTGAAAAATTCGTATAATGCACCCCTATTTTCTTCCTGGAACCACCCCAAAAAAATAAAATTTGAAAAAAAAACCTATTTTTAATTTTCTCGCACACAATGCCCTTCATGTGAATGGTTCAAATATTATTGTGCACACCTCCGACATAATACATGCATAGACACCAAAAGCATTTTTCCAGTACCAGCGTTTTAGCCGGAAAAAAATATTAAGGCGGTGAAAGAAAAATGATATTTTTTTTTTGGATTTTCGTTTCACATAGGTCATTAGCGTACTAAATAAGCTTTCCAAAAATATATCTACCTATTGCAACATCCCTCTGGAAACTACCCCTGCCCCTATGGAAGTTGTCGCAACCACTTTTTTGCGATTATTTCGTTACCTATGCATTGTATGGGAAGGAAATTTATACGAAATTGAAGACCACCGTTTGCTCTACAAATAAGTTCCTAATGCATTTTTTAATATTTTGCAACCATATTTTGCAACCGTTACGCCACAGTGGCATCCCATAGCTCAGAAATTTTATAGCGAATTCCAGTTTTATTCCATTATCTCGTCACCTATTCACAGATTTAGCACCCCCCTAACCGAGAAGATGAGAGGTAAAAAATACACACACTACCGTGTAGTAGGCCTTCTGGGGACACCACAATAAATATAATGCATGAAATATAATTGGTACATACTTAATACTGTTATTTATGATAAATCAATTACATAGGCCCTAATAATAACATGAGCTGAAGATCATTGGCGAAAAAAAGCAAAAATGCAATTTGCGTGACGTTTTCCGACCTTAGAACGTAGAAAGTGCATAGGGAATAATTAGTAGACAAATTTCTGACCTTCAATTCTGCAAATGAATAGAATAAAACTGGAATCCGCTCCTAAATTATTACTGAACTTTGAGACGCCACTGTAGCGTAACGATTGCAAATATAAAAAACATGCATCAAGACCTTATTTGTGGAGCATATGGTGGTCTTCAATTTCATATAAATTTCCATCCCACAAAACATAGGTAACGAAATAATCGCAAAAGAGTGGTTGCGACTACTTCCATAAGGGGCAGGGGTAGTTTCCAGAGAGATGTTGCATTGGGTAGATATATTTTTGGAAAGCGTATTTAGTGCGCTACTGACTTATGTGAAACAAAAAGCAAAAAAAAATAAAAAATCACCACCTTAATTTTTTTTTTCCGTCTAGTGGGGATGTACTAGAAAAATGATTTTCGTGTTGATGCATGTATGTTGGAGGTGAGCACAAAATAATATTTGAACCATTCACATGAAGGGCATTGTGTGCGAGAAAATTAGAAAAAAGGCATTTTTCTTTCAAATTTAATTTTTTTGGGGTGGTTGCAGGTAGAAAATAGGGGTGCATTATACGAAATTTTCAATATCATTCCTACATCAAAAATCCCTGAAAATTTGAACAACCTAGCATTAGCCCTGCAGATGATATGAAAGGGGGATGTTTAAATTCCAACACCCTGTATATCTCAAACGGGTAACTGTTTTCAAATAAAACATATATCAAAAAATCGGCCAATTGTTTATGAGTATTTGCTGTATGGTTTGTGGTGGATTCGCTTTACTGTTCATTAAAAAAATAATAATTTCCAAAACATCTTTTCTCAAGGTCATTCAACTTTGGGGCGCCACCCCGAAAAAAGGTTAGGTGATAGGCATATGCTGTCGCTGGCTAAATTGTAGAGAATTTAGTCCTCTGCAATTTACTATGGAGGTTTTGTTTTTTTAAAACGTAGCGGAAGCGTTACAGAAAACTTACAAAAAACGACCTTTAGGGGGATGAAAGGGGATGTTCTAGGGTGAAATTTTGTTGGAAAAAGTAAGACCCATAAAAAGCAGCCCTTGTGCTAGAAAATAATAAAACAGAACTTATGTTGAGTTTGCGAGGTTCAACCTCTCTTTCCTGGCCTATAATGAAAAAGAAGAAATCAGTCTATGATGAATCTATAATACTCATCTTCAAGGTCATTGCTAACTTGTAAAACACAAACCTTCCCTGTAAGCATGAACAAAATCAAACAATACAAACATATAGAGAGAGCACTCAAACTCTCACAAGTGACAAAACATGGCCTTACTATTAAAATTTTAAAAAACACATCAAGAAACTATCAAAAACATCCCATTCACACACAAAAAAACCTTTCGAAGCATCACCCCCTTCTCTCTTTCACGACACTTTAATAGCTTAGCATTATCACCCATACATGCTTATGATGTTACTAACACATTAGGTTCTAAGATCTTGGGTACCAGTTTTTAAATTTACACAGTTGTACAAGTTAATATACATCATTTCACTAACAAATCTCTTTCGATAATTTGGTTCACAATCCAAAATCGTCACTTTTTCAAAATTAAAAAGGCGGCCGGAATCAAAATGATGGTATGCCAGAGCTGTTTTGTTTTCATCCTTGCTTGATAAAGATAAAATAAAGTAACGAAACGTAGCATACTGAACCTATTGTGTTGTATTCTATCTGACTCTCCTATTACCCACGATCCAACACAACAAAAAATGTTTTTTAGATTTTCGAAATCGAATTTAAAAATAATATGATTTGAAATTTTTCTAATGACAAAAAGCCTGAAGATGGAAAAGTAAAAGTCATTTAACTGGAAAATATTGAGATCTAACACATAGTATTGGTATCTCAAATTTTCAGCACTCGTTTTCTATTCCTGCGATTTTCCTCAATGTCTTATTGAAAATATTATGACTTATTATTTCATTTTTCAACTTACCTAGTTATGGATATGATAAAAATATAGGTATCCTAGAACAAATTAAAATACATTTGCAAAGTCAATATTGTTTGCTAGAATAAGGCACCTTGCATGAATTTTTTTTATTGCTGATTTCGTTAGTCAATAAAAAATTAGTCAACACGTGTTTTTTCTTTTTCTAGTTAGTCAAAAATTGAAGGAGATATGACGCTTTGAAATGTACTTATTCTCCATATCCTATGACGTCACACATGCTTAATATATCTATATACAGGGTGTCCCAGGGAAAACAGTCCACCCCGATTTATTAGATTTGGGATGAGAATCTGGAAAAACGCTCGGACACGTCAATTTTTGATTCGAGGGGGAAGTATTTTTCAGTTTTTTTCATCCTCGTAGCTTCAACCCCCTAGCTAGGGGGAGAACAACCCCCCAAATTTGAATAGGGGATAGGGGTCGTGTTATATCTCTTTTTAAAGATCTTATGAAGATCTTTATGAACCTAGAATTTCATCTCATTATTTTCATCCGTAACGAAATGACAGCTTGTCAAAATCTTGGAAATAGACTATTATTTTAGTGGGAGTAAAAGCGATACTTACCTCCCTTAATAAAAATACTTGAAATTAAAGTTTTTTATTATTATTATTGATGAGGTGTACTCGAGAATTGTAAATTGTAGGTATTTTTAGTTGTATTTTGATTAAGGGACGTAAGTACCGCTTTTACTCCTACTAAAACAAAGGTCTATTTCTAAGATTTTGACAAGCTGTCATTTCGTTACGGATGGAAATAATAAGACGAAATTCCAAGGCCATAAAAAACTCGATGAGACCTTTGAAAAGAGGTATGACACGACCCCTATCCCCTATTCAAATTTGGGGGGTTGCTCTCCCCCGTAGCTAAGGGATTGAAGCTACGGGGATGAAACGAACGGAAAAATAGTTCCCCCTCAAATCAAACATCGACGTGTCCGAGCGTTTTTCCAGATTCTCATCCCAAATCCAATAAATCGGGGTGGACTGTTTTCCCTGGGACACACTGTATACAAAACTTAATATTTGTATAACTTTCGGAATAATCATATTTGAACCAAATAAAAAAATACCTATCGATTTTTTTTCGATTTCCTACAGTTTGCAATAAACAATAATCAATTTAATTTTTCATGCAAGGTCCCTATTACAAAGTATTAGTGAAATAATGAAATAGTTATTTGTGCAACCAGTTTGGAAAAGCACTATTTTCCGTAACGAGCAGATTTCTGCGAGTTACGAAAAATAGTGTTTCCCAACGTGTTTCATACAATATTTTTTCAAATTTTGACATGATGATTCAAGTTGAAAATATAAAAAACGTGCTTCGAATATGTAGGGGAGACTAGGGAGGCTTGAGACAAGGGAGGAATGAGACACTACATGTATTTCCTGAAATCAGCCCAGCAGAGCCATCTAGTGGTCACTGGTGCATAGCTTTATTCAAATATCTTACCGCTTTTCCAACAAACCGGCGCCAGTCGGTAGTAAAACGTTGTTGTTAGTGCACGTGAAAAATTGCCGCCAAAAGTAAAATTTTATTTTGTGACATCGCACTAGTTTGGAGCAAGTTAAAGTGAAAATCCGGGTTGATTCTTTAAGCGTAGTGACCACAGGTATGTTTTGCATAAATCATATAGCTATCAAGTTAATTAGATGTAGAATAAGAATTTTAGGTTATATTATTTCACAAAATGTTACATAGGGAGACATGATACAGTTGTTTTGGGGAGCCATGAGACGTCTCAACCCTCCCTATCTAGTATTTTTAAATAATTAAAAAATGCTAATCTGATTAAAAAAATTATGATAATATTGTTTCAGATACAATATGCCGCATTTCTGGATTAAAAAGACGAAACGAGTAGTTTCTCCGCCTGACGTTATGCAAACAGCTGTTGAAGAGGTTCTTGCGGGAGCAAAATTACGCCCAACTGCAAGGAAATATGATATAGACAAGGAAACCCTTAACAGATATGTGAAGAAAAGGTCCTTGGTTGCTCCTGCAGATAACATTGCTTACTCACCTGATTTTAAAACTGCATTAGTGTTCACCCATGAAGAAGAGGCTCTCCTATCAGATTATCTAGTCCGTGCTTCGCAAATGCATCATGGATTAACAGTCACATGTGCACGTCAACTGGCCTTTCAATTTGCTAGGGCCAACCATAAAAAATATTCTAAGAAATGGGATGAAAAATCCATTGCCGGCTACGATTGGTATCGCGGCTTTAGACATCGTCATCCCGAGTTATCGCTAAGGACTCCAGAGTCAACCAGTTTATCACGATGTACGAGTTTCAACCGCACAAATGTTACCACTTTTTTTAACAATTTAGAATCGGTTCTTAAGCGCGACAAGTTTGAACCTCATCAGATCTGGAACATTGATGAAACGGGGCTTACAACAGTACACAAACCACCCAAAGTCCTGGCAGCGAAGGGTGTTAAACAAGTTGGAAATGTTACGTCGGCTGAACGAGGCACGCTAGTTACTGCGTGTTGTGGTATTAGTGCTCGAGGGACATTCATCCCTCCGTTTTTCGTCTTTCCACGGGTAAATTTTAAGGAATACATGCTAGCTAACGCTTTTCCCGGAAGTGCTGGAGTTGCTTACCCCAGTGGATGGATGTCCGCCGAAAATTTTATTGTTTCATGGACCACTTTATAAACCACACTGGTTGTTCCATGGAAAATAAAATATTGCTACTTATGGTTAACCACGAGAGCCATATTTCCGTCGATTCTCTGAATAAAGCCAAGGAAAATGGAATTGTAATGCTCACGTTTCCGCCACACTGCAGCCATAAACTGCAGCCCTTGGATGTATCGGTTTACTACCCCTTCAAAAATTTTTATAACTCGCAGTGTGCATCATGTATGGATTCAAACCCAGGTCAAACCTTATCGATCTATAATATTGCTTCTTTAGCTAGTCGAGCGTTCGAATTAGCTTTCACCCAAAAAATATTGTATCAGGTTTTTCAGCGACTGGCATTTGTCCTTTAAATCGTGACGTGTTTACTGAAATTGATTTTATGTCCAGCGCAGTGACAGATCGACCGCTGGCAACTATAAGTACAAATCTAGAAGATGAAGCACCTAGATCAAAAATCGGAATGCAAGGGGAAATAGTGGAGCCTGAAAACTATATAGAATCTAAAGCCTCAACTTCAAAAGCCCAAGGACAAGAGAACAGTTCAAACACTAAACAAAATTTTGTTAGTCCCGAAATTTTAAGACCACTTCCGAAGGCAGGTTCCCGAAAGCAGATTACAAGGCCAAAACGTGGTTCCTCAAGAATTCTTACAGACACGCCAGATAAAGATGCTATAGAGGCTGAAGCAAGTGCTCGAAAGATGAAAAAAGTGGTTCCGTTGAAGCATGGCAACCTTTTTTTAGAGAAGAAAAAATCTGTACAGAAACCTGCAACTCCACCTCAGTCTTCTTCAAGTTATGAAGAGGAACAAATTCAGTCGGGCGGGAGCAGCGAAGATGTTTCAGATGTTGAAAGCTACGAAAGAGAAATGCTTCAAATGAAGGCTCTTGAGGATCCCAAGACTCTCCAAGCAGGAGACTTTGTTTTGGTTAAGTTTTGCACAAAAACTTCAATTGTCCATTATGTGGGTCAAGTAATATCAAAGCACGATGATGAATACGAAATTAAATTTTTGCGTCGTCACGGAACCACCTGGAAATTTGTTTATCCACCAATAGAAGATTTATCTTCAGTTCAAGAACAAGACATTCTTTTGAAATTACCGTTTCCAAAAAATGTGGGTGGAACAGAAAGAGTCAAATCTACATTGACGTTTGGTTTGGACTTTCGTCATTATAAAAATGTTCGTTAATTTTCTTTTTTATTATTATTTTTTCAATAATTAATGAACATTTTCCAAAAGCTTACAACGTCTCAATGCTCCCTATAACCTGTCTTAACGCTCCCTCAGCTAGGGAGCCTTGAGACAATTTACACCATTTTGTTGAAATATATCTAAACCATCAAAATATTATTTTGGAGGCATGAAAAAATATGGCTAAATGGTACACCATTCACTGGCAATATATATTATCTTTAAATTGTGAACTGTAAAATTTATTAAAAATAAAATTAATTTTTTGTCTCAAACCTCCCTGGTCTCCCCTACAGGGTGTGAATTTGAAAACTTCCCACCCCTATTATCTCGGAGTAAAAAAATTTTCGAAAAAATCCCTGAAACACGTCAACTATAATTTGAAGGGCGATGAGCTTTTATGCAAAATTCACCTTCCCACTTTCAACCCCCCAGCCCCCAGAGGCACCCCCTAGAAAATTTTAAATGGGAAGGGGAGTCGAGTAATACAGAATTTTGCAGAGTTTTTAATTCCATACATTTTGGTACTAAATTTTAGTCCCTAAGTTTAACTGTTTTGGGAATATTGACAGTTGAAAATTGACTTTTTCGCAACTTTGACAGGCTGTAAAACCTAAACGGTTGATTTTAGAGGAAAACCGATCTTACATTCTTGTCTTAGATTTTCATAAACTATCATTTGCCAGCAACTTTGAATTTAATCCATGATCAAAAATTCTGGTTAAAAATTCAATCTCCGGTTAAATTCAAAGTTGGTGTCAAATGATAGTTTATGGAAATCGAAGATGAGAATGTAGGATCGGTTTTCCTCTAAAATTAACCGTTTAGGTCTTACAGCCTGTCAAAGTTGCAAAAAAGTAAATTTTCAACTGTCAATTTTTCCAAAAAAGTTGAACTTAGGGACTAAAATTTAGTACCAAAATGTATGGAATTAAAAACCCTGCAAAATGATGTATCACTTGACCCCCTTTCCCATTTAAAATTTCCTAGGGGGTGGCTCTGGGGGCTGGTGGGTTGAAAGAGGAAAGGTGAATTTTGCATAAAAACTCATTCCCCTTCAAATTATAGTTGACGTGTTTCAGGGATTTTTTCGAAAATTTTTCTACTCCGAGATAATATGGGTGGTATGAATAAAAACGAAGTACTTGCTACTACTACAAGTATTAGTATGTTCTACGTAGTATTTACTTCAAAACGAAGTAGATACTACTAATTTACTAATTTCCGGTAGTGTCGAAATGTAGTATCTACTTCGTTTTGGAGTAAATACTACGTAGAACATACTAATACAGTAGTAGCAAGTACTTCGTTTTTATTCATACCACCCAATAGGGATGAGAAGTTTTCAAATTGACACCCTGTATGTCTAGATCGTCAAGGGTCAAATGAGTTCGGAGATGTTTTTTTGTAATTTTGTTTTTCGATACTATCCGCTACTAATTAGGCACTAGCTGACGTCACATACATAACCTCCCTTCCGTTGGGGAGACAAACAAAGCGTTTGCACACAGGCGCCAGCTTGTCACAAATGACATAACGTGACTTTCGTTAGGGGGACAAACATGTCATTGAGGTCATGTGTGAGACGTCAGCTAGCACATAATTAGGCAATTCAAACCACGTGACATTCAAGATGGCGTGGCGGCCACACATGGGCAAAAAAACACAAAAAAATATCTAGTTTCTGCCCAAATTAATAGTTTAGGTACCTAGTCAACAAATATTTAATAAATAATGAAAATCAAAGTTGTAAGCAAAACTGTATGCAAAATAATTTAAAATACGCATAAAAACATATTCAAAACAAACTTGTTTGGCCGCCACGTCACATTGAATTTTCCTTTTTGACAGATGGATTGAATTGCCTAATTGCTATGGAAGCAAGTATTAAAGTGTCAAGCATAGAGGTGTCAAGTCTGCATCAGTCTGAGTTTCTATTATAATTTCCGAAAAAGTGTTCTTATCAAACGTTATAAACTAAAGATTAAAGAATAACGCTTCGAATGTCGAATTCTGAAAGCGACGACGTACCGAGTGACATAGAAGAAGCGGCCCAATCTACCTTATCCACGATCATTCCAAAGAAATCTAAAGGCAAAAAATATGATTTGGCATATGTCAAATTCAATTCATGGTGCGAACAAAAAAAAATTAATCATTTGAACGAAAAAGTTTTGTTGGCGTATTTCCAAGAGAAGAGGGAAATGAAGAATTCAACGTTATGGAGTTTATATTCGATGTTAAGAACCGAATTGTCCCTAAAAAAAATTGATATCAAGAAGTATACAAATTTGGTCGCGTTCTTGAAACGTCATTCCGAAAATTACCATCCTAAAAAATCGCAAGTCTTACATAAGGAAAACATTGCCAATTTTCTGAACAAAGTAAGTGTAAGCCATTATTGCCTTATCGTCATCATTATATCTTTCTCTGCGATCCGCCTATTTGTGAGCACTACTGATATTTTTCCATTTTAATTTCAGATAGCATTAATTGTTGGAGTTGCTGGATCTTGTCCAAAAAGTAAATTAATTTTTCTTCGCGTAGAAAATGTAGTATTTCAGGAGCAGTTAAGTGACCATACCCAACACAGAGACGAAAGTATGTCGAGAATTTGCTATAACCACTGGTGCTTTTGGCGGAATAAATTTCATTGAAATGATGAAGAAATACGTCCTGCTGAGGCCATCAATTACTAAGCATGACAGGTTTTTTGTCAAATATTTAAATGGGAAATGTAGAGTTCAACCTGTAGGTATTAATACCTTTAACAATTTGGTCATTGCTTTCGACGGTCATCGACAACTCTCCTTGCAGATTCTGGAGCCGATTTGCTGCGAATTAAACAGCATGGGGGGGTGGAAGGTGGAAGTCCAATGCATTCGCTGAAGACTATATGGAGAATTCCATGACGAATAAAAAGAAAATTGCCTCCAACATCCTTGGAGAGACTTCTATAAGTTCCATGGAAAATACGCAAATTAATGCTACACAGAAAACTACTTTGTCAGCTGGGGTTAAAATCACCAATTGTTCAAATTGTGTTGTCAATATTTATAATTAGTTATAATTTTTTCCACACATAATGCTATCGATTAGAATAAAATTAAATTTTCATAGTATGTAGAATATATTATAATAATATTATAATATTATAATAACATAAAATAATATTAAATAAATACTTTAAGTAGTTTAGCCTTGAAATTACCACAAATTTTATTTCTGTATTTTTTGCAACTGATGGTGAAATTTACTTTTCCTACGAGCGTGCGCAAAGTAGTACTTTTCCGCACGCATTTCCGGGCTCAAAGTTACACTTTTCCGCACTCAGTGCGGATACAGGCCTTATCCGCACTGAGTGCCGAAAAGTAAAAATAATTGTCAAGCAACAATAAGTACACCTGTCGACTTTGACACATGATGACAAATTTTTCCTCTGTTCCTGTTCCAGCTAACATCTATACCTACAAACACCAAATTTAATTAACTTCAACACATTGTCAGATTTGTTTTCTATATATATGCATCTACAAACTTTCTCATCAAATTTATAGCATTTTCCATTTGTCGAAACAGGGCAAAAAAATGTATCCTTATCCTTACATGTTACATGCTTTTAGAAAAAGATGCGGATGCACTCAGTGCGGCACTGATGACAAATGGAAATCGCCATTAAACGCTTTAAGATGAAGAGCTCTGACGATGATTTTCTGTTATATTTTTTTTTTGTTATGTAATTTTTTGATAAATGCATAGGTTCCCTTCAAGTTAATTAAAAATAATTAAACAAATTATCGTTTTTTTTTTAAATTTTTGTTGTTACCTACCTGATATGAAGCTCGTAGGAAAAATTTTGTTCCTAACACGTGCGCAAAGTGTCTTTTCCGCACGCAAACACGTATCCGAACTCCGCTTCGCGTCGTTCGTATAACTGTGTTTGCGTGCGGAAAAGTAACACTTTGCGCACTTGTTAGGAAAATAACTATTTCCTACTAGCGTTCGGAAAACGCTTTTTCACGCACGCTGTGCCCGAGAAAAGTTTTTCACACACTGATTTATTTTTTATTTATTTTTTTCAATTTTTCTCTTCATATATCATGCTTTTCAAAAATTTTAGATTTTTTTGAAATTCCTCCACAGTTTTTTCTCTTCAAGAAAGCTATTAGGTTTTTGTACTGACCAATATCGACCTCTTTAACGAGTTTTATACCATAAATAATTAATTCTTCTTATAATAAAAATCATTGTTAATGTTCTGTTGTTAAAATCATTGCGTTACTAAAATTAATTGAAAAATCACATCTTTGACCATTTCTCTTATCAATAGAGCCAAAAACAAACAAAAAAACAATATGTCAATTTCCGCACGCTCGTAGGAAAAATGTTGTACCTAACACGAGCGTAAAGTATCTTTTTCGCACTTACGGCTTGCACGAACTCCGCTGGCGCCTCGTTCGTGCAAACGCCGTTGCGTGCGGAAAAGTATAACTTTCCGCACTTGTTAGGTAAATAACTATTGATGAAAATTAAGACATTTGATAACTTCAACGAATTTTGAAAGGTTTCACTTTAAATGTCAAAATTAGAAAAATTAAATTGTTTTAATTTGTTTCACGACAATTTTCTCAATAATATTATTTATTTTCAAACGTCATATAACAGTAATTTTTGTGACCATTTTGACAAGGTATAAGTGTCACTTCAATGACTTTCAGCTTGAGCGGCGTATAAGTGTTATACTCCGCCAGGGGCCTTATTCTGTAAGGAACAACCGTTCGATTCGGTAGAATTTCTTCGATTGTGACGTCATTTTCGGTTTAGTTTTCGCTCGTTTTCGCGCTACCAAAGCGAAAATGACGTCACAATCGAAAAAATTCTACCGAATCGAACGCTTCGTTCCTTACGGAATAAGGCCCCAGAGTATAATAACACTTATACGCCGTTACACATGTTTTTCCATAGTGATTTAAAGTAGTTTACCTGTACATACAGGT